TAAAAGAGTTATACTTCTCTCTTTGGATGTGTAGTTTGCCGATTGGCTATATATAAAGTCACAAGAAAGAAAACACATTGTTTTGACTTGTGAAATAAAGTTTGATTAGAAATTATAACTTTATCAATTGATAGGTTTTCCTTTAACAATAATATACATTTGATTGTTCACCCAGGGAGCTGTTGGTTTAAGACTAAGAGTGTATGAAAGGATTTTTTGCTTTGTTAATTGTCACTTTGCTGCTCATTTGGAAGCTGTCGGTCGTCGAAAGCTGATTTTGACCATGTATATCGTACGATGTCATTTGGTCGACCATCTAATCTCCTTAATGCTGGTGCTGGTATGGTGTTGTACCTGTTATTCTGTTGCATGCTTGCCTGGTCAATATATTATTTTGGCTTGTTTATAGATCTAGCTTGCCATTGTCCTTTCTATTGCAGCTGGTGCTTCATCGGCTGTCAAATGGCTCGTGGAGCTAATGTATGTATATGCTATGGTTTTGTTTCATTTTCCTTAAATTATTCTTCATTTCCGGTTAGTGTGTGAGAGTTGATGCTTATACAGGTATTGGTGCCCAGTCTGTTGAAGGAATGCCTGAATTATCTGAGGCAGACATGATTGTATTTCTTGGTGATTTTATTATCGGCTTGATGATGTGTCATATGATGAAGCAAGAGATTTTATATCTCAAAGAAGCTTTGATTGGCTTAGAGAAGGGATCAACTCCGAGCAGAGATGAAGCTGGAAATGTTTTCCAGGGAGCGGGAAGCAGTTATTACTTTTGCTCCCACATACAAATTTGATAACATGTAGCTGGTTTATCAGGTACCTTATATGTTATGAATTCATCTTGTTTCTAAACTTAATATCAGTCTATTAGTGTTTGATTTTTACCATCGATTGATGTTGTGCATTTTGTGATTCATAAAGTGGTTCAGCGATTGCTGTTGTTAAAGTTTTAAGTAGTCTATTAAGATATTTTTCACAAGGGGCTCAGGAAAAAGTGTTCTTTGTAGCGAAAAGATTATTATTATTATTATTCCTCCAAATTTTAATGTATTTGATTGGCTAAAATTCATTTTTAATGCTTATTTTAAAGGTTACGATTCTGGTGAAAAGAAACGCATTCCTGCCTGGTGTGACAGATCTTATACCGTGATAGCCGACGAACTTTGGGATCTGAATGCAGTTTAGAGTGTCCTGTTGTATCTTCAGTATCACAGTAGTTCTATTGATTTCTATGCAATGTTTAGGAACTGTTTAATATCTTTACAATAATCGCATGCTCTGATTGAACTCCATATCTGTTGTGATCCTTTCTGGTGAGGACAATGCTTTAACAGTCCTTATGGTTATCAACTTTTTCAAAAAGATTCAACATTTAGCAACTTTTCGTCTTTTGTCTGAGATCTAAACTGACTGAATTTATTCACATCTTTTTGAATTTGTTTCAAATCCATATCCTGTCAACTCATGTCAGAATATGAACAGATTTTTTTTATGTATGTCCCTAAAGTGCTCATGGGGATTCTATACGTATGCTAACAACATGATGAGAAATGGATTTAGAACAGATGTAGATATTGAATTTTTAGGGTTGTGTTTCAAAAGGTCATGGCAGACTAATGGTTTTTCTCGTCTTCCACCCCCCTTTGTGTTCTTTTTTTGGAATATGGGGTAAGTTGGTTAGTATTTACCCATTTGAACATGCAGCTTTTGTTTTTTTCAGGGCAGACTGCAATCTCTTATCATCTCTTATATATTGTAATTATCTTGAATAATCCTGATATATCCTCTTGAATAGGTATGAGTCTGCATGGAGTGACAGACAGTGATCACAAGCCTGTCATTTGCATATTTTCTGTTGAATTGCCCACATTGACGAGTCAGAAGGAGACAAGAATTTGGAGATATAGTGCGATCAAATGAGGAAATTAGATGCAAGCTTCAGGAATTATGCAAATTCCGGAAACAATTGTCAGCACTAACAATATACTCCTCCAAAACCAGGATACATCAATTTTGCGCATCACAAATAAATGCAAGGAAAGCATTGCTTTGTTTGAAATAGTTTGCCAAGGTGAATCTACAATCAAGGATGATGGGCAGGCATCGTATCATTATCCACGAGGTTCCTTTGGCCTTCCACGGTGGCTTCAGGTAGGTTTTCTTGTTTTAGGTGGATTATTGTTTCTAGCAGATGCTTAAGGTTGGGTTTGATTGAAGAGAAAGGGTGAAAATTGGTGTTGGGTCCATATTGCTAGGGTTTTGAAATCCTTTATATTGAAAGAATCAGTTGATAGAACTTGGATTTGGAATATGCAATGGTTTCCTTAGGAGCTAAATATGCATATAACTTTTCGATCTAATATATTTACCATCAGTGGGTTGGATGCAGTCTTGATTATATTTTGATCAAATTTGAACTGCAGCAGATTTATGGAGCAGATTAAAATTGGTTTAGGGGCTTTGGCAGCCTGCTATGTGTCTGTTTAAAGGGGTATTTCCTTTGAAATTACGATCTTTTCATGCTTAGGCATTGATTCTGTATGTAAACCCCAAAATCATGTCCGTCTTGTAATATAGAATATGGCTAGATATGTTTACAAGCTTTATAGAGCTTAAAATTTGGTAATTTCCTGCAAAAAAATATGACCTAAGAGTTCATTATCTTTATTATTCTGATTGTTGGTCTTTGGAGGTAAAAGCCGACAACGTATTTGTGATGTTTGGCCAGGTTACTCCAGCTGCTGGCATAATTCAACCAGATCATGTAGCAGAGGTATCAATTCATCTCGAGGCATTCCACACTCGAGAAGAGTTTGTTAATGGTTTTCCACAAAACTGGTGGTGTGAAGACGACAAAGACAAGGAAGCTATATTGGTTGTTAAAGTTCATGGCAGGTATACAATGGAGACAAAGAACCATCGGATCCGTGTTCGTCACTGCTGTTCAGCAAATGTATTGATCCTAAGCCTAGAGATTCTGTACAAGTTCAAGGAATCGCCTTCACCGCGTGACTATCAAAGGCTTGGTGTTTCCTCTGATGTGGTCGATCATCTCCGGCGTCTGCATAGTCCATAAAGTACCACTGGGAAGCTGAAATGTTAAAAACTTTTCCCTTTTTTTCCGGAGTGATTCTTACGCGGTGTGAATAGGAGTTGAGCTGGTGCCCAATTTTTATACTGTCATCGGTGGTGTTTGTTTAATTCATTTATAAGTGTGTACAGTAGTGAGCATGAGAGAAGTGCGAAGCATTTCGCCTTTGTTTACCCTTTCCAATTTGTGGATATATTATATCCCCTTTCCATTGATATTTTATTGAGATATTTGTTCATTCAAATTTGTTATTTTAGGATTTTTCTGGGTTTTGCAAGCCGTTAGTTGTGGTTTTATTATTTCAATAGAAATTATATTTAGAAGGCTGTTAGTTATGTTTAATAGTTAATTTAACCCTTAAAAGTATGAATCGATTACTATTTTGCTCTATAACGTCTTTGCTTAAATATGACCTTTAAAGTTTTATTCCATTAACTGTTTTGATTTTTCTGTCTAATATCATTAAAAAAATATTATCCTTTTAGTCGATTAATGAATGACATGTGAAGTGTTGAACTGAAAATAAGTTATATTTTAACCCTTGAAGGTTATATTTTGTTAACGATATTAGCTTTTTATCTAACGTCATAACCCTTAAAGTAATTGCATATGGTTATAGATATATTAAATTGAGACTATACTATACAATTAATTGTATAATTCGATGAATACGTTCATGATTAGAAACATGCACATACGAATAATGTCATTACATTAATCTATTAAATGATTTAATTGTAAAATGATTTATTGCATTTTATAATTTTCAATAAATAAAAAATTTAAAAACTTTATATCAAAAAATTATAAAGTAAATGTTTATATTCACGATATAAGAAAATTATAATCATAAATATAATACATATTTCAATATTAAAAGTCAAATACTTTTGTAATTTAAAACAAAAATAGGCCTGAGAAGTCATAAAATTTAAATAACGGACCAATGAAAAGGCGCCACGTTTCGAACATACGCGCACTAATACGACGAACACGAAAACGAAAAAATAAAGAAGGAAAAAAAAACACTAAATTCGAATGTTTCTGTGTATGTCCGATCCGACTCGACTGGCGATTCTGCAAACTGAAAGTTAAATAGTTGAAGTTCTCCCGAGCGGCGGTTCTCAAAATTAAGCTAAAATGGGGAGTTTTTGCTTGGTGGACTGGGATTTTTAAGGTTCATTGTTGCTATTGATTTTAGCGGTGTTCCGAACTTAATTGGCTCATTTCCGTTGCTGGAAGTGGAAAAATTAAGAGTTCTGACGAGGAATTTGAAATTTAGGGTTTAGCTTCACTTGTGAGCTATGCGAGTTTGTTGAATTCTGACTGGAAACAAAAGCGGTAATCTTATACTCAAGTATAGAAATTTGTTACATTAGTAGTGGGGAAGTTTATGAAGAAATAGGGTCTGCATTGGGCGAAAAATGTACACTTTTACTTTTAATACAGGGAAAATATTTGCTTAATAATTGGACTGGATTTTAGCCGTTCTTTCAATGCTTATTTTTTTAATTCATTTTCAAGGCAAATGCCGGATTCGAACCCACAAGGCAGGACAACATGAGCATCCTTGACCACTCGGTCAATTAATGGGTCTCGTTGCTTCATTTTTAATCATTTATGATTTTGCATACTAACGGTTTAGTTTTAACAACTTTACGAGGAAGCTCATAGCGGGTGGTGAAGTAATTAGATTATCCTTTCTTATATGTCCTATTAATATGCTCTATTTCTTTCTTTTTCTTTTTGACTTGTAATTTCATATTTATTAAAAACAACCACTGGAATTAGTGATGGTCATGCATACTTTATTTTAAGTTATCAGTATTTCTAAAACATACATTAGAAGTGGTATTTCTGATTTGAAAATTATAAATACCAGATTTGCTTGAAAGTCAGCATGCTTGATTACATGAAACTTGGTAAAACATGGTTTCTCCTGAAAATTATGGGGGCCGGATGGATATGACAATAGTTTGATCCTATGTTCATGTCTATTGCTTGCTGGTTCTTGAAACTGAAAATTTTCATTCCAAAATTCCACTTAGCATTTATTGAGAATTTTTTTAAAGTTCATAGAATTCTCCTTTTTTCTATAACTTCATTTTTTTTGTTAAAATGGTTTTGAGCAGACTCTATTCTGTTTCCTGATGTACCAATTGCGCACCGATTGTCCAGTCATCTTCTTCTGGGAGTGGTGAGGATATATTCTAGAAAAGTGAATTACCTATTTGATGATTGCAGTGAAGCCTTGCTTAAGATAAAGCAAGCGTTTCGTTCCACTGCAGTTGATTTACCACCCGAAGAATCCACTGCACCCTACCATTCAATCACTTTGCCTGAGACTTTTGATCTTGATGATTTTGAGCTGCCTGACAATGAGGTTTTTCAGGGGTTCGTTCCTAATACTTACATTTTAGATTGGCTTTCTTGATTTATGTGGTGCCTTGGTCATATGAGATGCATTGGATTATTTTCATTAGTTATCCATTATGTTTCTCGAACTTGGGTGTGAATGTATAATATGGATATGCATCCAAAATGGGTATGGTTAGATTTTTCTAATTTTCTCCATGTGTGTGGAAGATCCTTAGAGGTCATATCACCATATTCACTTGTTGGACACAATTGTCGAACAGGGGTACTTAAAGTAAAATGAACAGGTCTAGCAACATAAGTTTATCCATGGATGTACTGTGTGCATATTAACATGTAGCTTTGTTGGCAGTAACTACGTTGATCATCACATTAGCTCAAGAGAGCAGATTAATCTTCAAGATACCACGGATGGTGTGGTTTACTCCACGTCACAATTTGGATTAGATGGTTAGTGTGTGCTTTTGACTGTGATGATCATTGATTTAACTACATTTTGATTAGTAAATATGTAAATCTAAAGTTCTGGATTTTATATGCTTTCAGAGCGGTTTGGCGATGGGGATACTTCTCAGATTGGTCTCCTTGATTAGGTAATCTCGTTATTCTTGCTTCACTGACTGTTGTTGGAAAATTAGTCAGTAATAGGTGGGAGACTACTAATGTATGCACTGGAAATTTGAGAAAGGTTGGTTATATAGCCAACAAAAATATCTGATTTTAGGGCTTTGATGGCTGAGAAAATGTGATACGTTTTGATGGCTGATGACTTGATGTAGTGAAGTGTAACTTGGGTTTGGGGCCAAAATTTGATATGGAATTGGTTAGGATTTGATTGATGGTTTAGGAATACGAAGATTCAGATCAAGGCTTTACAGGTGTATATCATGCACCTAGGGTAGGGTTGAGGTTGCCTTGTATAATGCAAACAAACGCATAATAGCTACTGACATCATCAATGTTTTTATCCATTAAGTGGAAGTTATATGTGAATTTTTGGATTTGAAGGAGTGAGATCCAAGGTGTGACGTAGAACAAATTGATTTGCAGTAATCCCTTTGAAAATAAAGAAAACAGAAATTAGTGTATTTGTTAACATTCTATCAACAGGAAATGAAAAAGAAAAGGACTTAATAATGCAAGCTGTACCTTAATTGAGTATATTATTATTTTCTTTCATGATATTATCAATTTGGTTTTTTATGATTTATTGCTGGCATTTCTTTAGTTCCTTATTATTTATGCCACTTTTTCTTTGGCTGAGACTCATTTTTTAGTTTTTGTGTCGATGGCGTGAATATTCTAAGGTAGAAGAAGATGAGAATTTGGTAGAACATAGGTTCTGTTCGATTATTTCTTGCTGAAAAAAATAAGGAACATCCTGCTTTTATGGGTTGAGAATTACAAAAGTAAAGTTTAACTAGGTATCTTTTTCCTAACCTTTATCTCCTGAGAAGATAAAACCTAATCATAAAGTACAATTAAATTACAATTAGAATTTAAGATAAACAAAAACTCCTTTTCTTAATAGCTTTTTAATTACGACAGCTTTCCACAGATGGTATGGAAGCAGTCATGCCTAATTGCCTCTTAAGTGTAATTTACGTGTTTAAACACTGGGGGGACGGGTGTACTTCCTCGTTTCTATGTCTCACTTGAAAATCTTATACTATTTTTTTAGAACTCTTTTGTTTTCTTTTTCTCTAGTGTTAGTTATTTTGAATCTGTATTGGAATGGAAGGATTATGATAATATTGCATAACAATAGCTATTACGTTAGGGTTTTGGGCCAATGAGTCAAGCTTATTTAGTTAATTTAGAAGGGAGACCTTGATTGTCTTAATATCGGAAGAGAGAATAGTCAATGTAAAAGCTTCTCAACCGGGATCGGAATATTTTCTAACTCAACAAAGATGTTTAGGTCATACCTATTGAAAATGGCAAAATATGAAACTAAGCACAAGGAAACCACTAAGAATAGAATGATTTGGGCTTTTTTGCAAAATAGTTCTGTCCACGAGGAAGTGGGTTTTTAGAGAAGGACCGCAGTAATAAGATGATCTAATAAAGTGGAAGGGTTAAATAGCAAGTTTTGCTTAGACTGGAAGTACTTGGAGAGAAGATGATGCAATGATATCATCACAAGTAGGATAAATGTATACCCTTACTCTAAATACAATTAAAATTGCTTATGCCCTTTTAGGGGTGGGAATGAAGTGGGTCATTTTACTGAAGCGGTTTCATAGATGACTTGAACAATTACTAATCCTTATCACTTGGTTTTTGAAGTTGAAATGTGTGCCCTGGGATCTTCTGGTCTGCAGAGCCTTTAAATTGCTTAATGGATGGTTTATTCATGGCCCTTCAAATTTGATATAAACCCTGAATCTAGGGTTTATATTAAGCTTGTCTTCTCTATGAGTTAGCCAATCCTTTTTTTTGCTTGGTGTTTTTTTTCTCTTACACTAGCCATCTACCCAAAATTCTTATATTGGTTTAATTTTGAGCAGGAGCTAGTCCCAGAGAAGGTTGCAGCGCCAGCAGATGGCGGAGCTTCATTGTAAGCTTGATATATTATATATAAACCCTATTCTTTCTCCAATCTATTGTATAATAAATGCTCATAGCCTCATACACTTGTTTGCCTTATTTTCCCTTCAGTTATTTTCGGATGGTTTGGTCATGTGACTCTTTTATTGGATTGATTGCAACACTGAAAGTTATTAAGCTACCATTAATTCCAATGGTCAATGTATCCAATCATTAAATTATCTGGTTACCTGTTTTTCATTACAGGCATAATCTTCAAGGGTCAGATGTACCAGAGAAACACTACACAAGTAATTTAGAAGCTGCGTCAATTTTTTTTTGCTCAGCAAAATATGTTTTACTAAGGATATGGAAAAACGAAACCCAAGACCTAAGTTGTGTGCCTCATTAAAAACCTCCCTATACCTAATTGGAGGAAAAGAGTACAACACAACTAGGAAAAGTTACAACTCAACAACTGATTTCTACGGACTATCATCTAAAAAGAGATTGAACCAAACAATTAAAAAATGTAGCATATCGCAATTACAAACCCGACCAATTCTCTGCCGATAAAGTTTTCACAAAGAGATTCAAATCCATCTTCTCAAGTCACACTTCACCCCATTCTCCAAATAAGCTTAATGCTCACCAACTACCCAAAGATACCTACATAATCAAAACTCAAAACACCAACGACAGCATCCAGCGCAGACAGAAAACATACAACACCAACCAAAACTCAATTCAACATGAAAACACACAAACCCCAACTCAATTCAGTATGAAAACACACAAAACCAGCATCCAACAGCAAAAACTACAAAAAACTCCCCCTCAGCCTTCTAGTTACGGAGAGAGAATGATGAAATAAGTTTAAAGCGAGATCAACAAAAACCAGTAGAGCAAAAGAGCGTCTCTGTCAACAGAACAACAGAAAAAGTTTACAAGGTGGAGATGTCGGACGTAGATGAGGTCATTATACTTGTGGATAAGAAACGTAGACCTTCTCCAATTAGATTGAACAGAAACGAAAACATTAAGATTACCAAGCAATATGCCAAATAGCCACCCACAGTCCTGTCGGAACATCTCCATAACCACTCAGTCCCGATATAGTAAACCTACAGCCTGCAAACTTCTTCTTCGACTGAAATTTTCTAAACTCGAAATTTTACTTCCTGCAATTCAACTAAATGGCAATGGATTGGGATTGGGATACTCCTTCCGATGCCTCGCTAGCCAAAATTTCCCGAACCAAAATCTCTTCTGAACCTTTAAATTCTATTCCTAATTCTCTTCCAATCTGTAAAGTTTTCATCGCTTCTCTCTTTTGGATCATCCATCTTGCTTGAAGATCAGAATCGGATAAAGATCTGCCTTCTAATTCAGTCGAATCTTCCTCACACTCTACCTTCTTCTTATTTTTCTTTATTCGACATCTTTTATTCTTCCTTGGGATGTTTGTAAATTTATCCTGAATGCTTTGTAAAGAATTGTATTTTTTGTTTTTCCCCGCTTTTGCTTTTTGGTTCTGTCTGGCTTTGCAAAATAGAATATCCTCATTCAAATAGGTTGAAACATTAACCTTGTTCTAGATCCTCCTCTTTCCTGAATGGGCTTTCCCCCTATTTGATCTGCTATTACCCCATCCTCTTTGCCTTCCTCCCCCTTACTTTTTTTGTTAACACCTATATAATTAAGGCCCATACAAAACACATCCTCCACTTCCCGAGTATCTGATTGTCCTTCCCAAAAAGACAACTCTTCTAACTTATCTTTTATATCTTCGTTGACACATACTGGATTAAATAACTTCTTACTAACTTCTAATTCCTCTCTCTCCTCATGGCCCACCGCAACATTACTTTGCTTCTGAACAATCCCAGCTTTATCATCATTGTTTCTCATACCCTTAATTGCTTCCTCACCAATGTTTCTTTCCACCGCCTCCTCACCCGACAAGCAACCGCCTCTAAGTATATTTCTGTTAGGAAATAAACCAAGTACAAGTAATTTCCCTATAACCAGATTTGTGAGAATGCGAAATAAAAGCGGAAAATAATACCCGAAATTTGATAACGGAGTTCAGCTAATTTATGCTTACGTCTCCGGAATGCTGAGATCTTTTACTAAGAGAAAATTTACAGGTGTTTACAACACACACTTGAGAGAGAACTAGAAGATTTTGGGATGATTTGAAGCTAAATGAGCTAGGGTATTTATAGTTAAAACTTAGGGACTAATATTGTAATTAAAAAAAAAATATTTGGGCAGTCCCCCTCCCCAATTTGTTTTAGCAGCCGGCTGCTACTTAGCAGCCCAACTTGTTCTTTAATTTTCAACAATCTCCCACTTGAAGACTGATTTCAATCTGTCTTCACACCTCGATCGATGCAGCAGTATTTCTGGTCTTTTATCTAGCATGCCAACTGAAGCTGAACACAACTTCAGTTTGTCCGTAGTTACCGTCTTGTTAACATGTCTGCTGGATTTTGAGCTCCATTGATCTTTTTCAAGTTTTCAAAATCCTATCTTCCAGAAGAGACCGGATAAAATGATATCGCAATTGTATGTGCTTCGTCCTGGAATGAAAAGACGGATCTTCGCTAGATGGATATCACTTTGACTGTCGCAATACAAGACATTGTTTTCTTGTTTCTTGCCTAACTCATTCAAGAAACTTTAGAGCCAGACCATCTCTTTGCTGGCTTCCGTACAGCGACATATGCTTCGGTTGTGGAGAGCAACTATCTTCTGTAGTGAAAACCCAACTCACTGCGGTTCCTCCTAGAGTATAGACATACCCTGTAGTGCTTCTTCTGATGTCAACATTTCCGGCTAAGTCAGCATCTACATAGCCTGTCATATCGTATCTCCACCTTTGAAACAAAGTGCTTGTTTGTGGTACCTCGCAGATATCTGAGGATCCATTTGACTGCTTCCCAGTGTATTTTGCCTGGATTATTCATGTACCTGCTAACAGCTCCCACTGCTTGAGCATATCTGGTCTGGTACAAACCATGGCATACACTTCCAATTGCTGAGGCATACGACACCTTCACCATGTTGCACGTTCTTCCTCCGTCTTTGGTGACTGTTCTTTGGAGAGTCTGAAATGAACACCTAAAGGTGTATTTACTGGTTTAGCATCTTGCATGTTGAACCTGGAGAGTACTTTGTTGATGTACTCAGCCTGATAACATCAAAGTCCCGACTTTGTGTCTCTCTTGATCCTCATCCCAAGAATCTGCTTTGCAGCGCCCAGATCCTTCATAGCAAACTGCTTCGACAATTTTGCTTTAAGTGTATAATCTCTTGCATGTTTGAGCCTGCAACGAGCATGTCATCAACGTACAATAATAAAATAATGAAGCTGTTGTCGAACCTCTTGATGTAACAACAATGATCTGCTTGGCATCTGGTAAAACCACTACTACCCATGAAACTATCGAACTTCTTGTACCACTGTTTAGGAGCTTGTTTTAAACCATACAAGCTCTTCTTCAACCTGCATACCAGGTTTTTATTGCCTGCCTCTATGAAGCCTTCTGGCTGCCTCATATAGATTTCTTCCTCCAAATCACCATGAAGGAAAGCTGTCTTTACATCTAACTGCTCAAGATGTAAATTTTCTGCAGCTACAATTTTCAACACCAGTCTGATTGTAGACAGTTTCACGACTGGAGAGAAAATTTCATTGTAATCAATACCTTCTTTTTGCTGAAAGCCTTTGACAACCAATCTTGCTTTGTAACGTTTGCTCCCATCGTGCTCTTCTTTGATCCTGTAAATCCACTTGTTATGGAGCGCTCTCTTGCCTGGTGGTAATTCAGCTAATTCCCACGTCTGATTTGACATAAGCGAGTCCATCTCATCTTTCATGGAAGACTCCCACTTGACTGAATCCTCCACTTGCATTGCTTCATCATAACACTCTGGTTCACCATTGTCAGTCAACAACAAGTAGTGTAAAGAAGGTGAATACCGTTGGGTTGGTTTAGGAATTCTGGAGGAGCGTCTCAGTTCTGGTGTGCCTGGTTCTTCCTCTTGAACTGCTTCAGGACTGATTTGAACATCATTTCTAGAAATCTCCTCGAACTCAGCAAATTCCTTTGTTTCAGCCTCGGTATTACTTGATTCTGCGGTTGACCTGTCTTTGTACATCACATTTTCATTGAAATGATGTCTCTGCTTCTGATGATCTTTCGATTTTCGTAGTCCCAAAACCGGTAACCGAACTCATCACCGCCATAACCAATAAAGGCACATTTGTTGGACTTAGCATCAAGTTACTTCTTTCAGCAGAGTCTATGTGTACATAAGAAATACAACCAAACACTCTTAAGTGTGAAAGGTTTATTTCTTTCTTGCTCCAAGCTTCCTCTGGTATTCCGCCATCCAAAGGAACAGAGGGCCCACGGTTGATCAGGTAAGCTGCAGTGTTGATAGCTTCAGCCCATAGAAATTTGGGCAATCCGGCATGTATCCTCATGCTTCTAGCACGTTCATTCAGAGTTCTGTTCATGCGCTCTGCTACGCCATTCTACTGCGGTGTTATGGGAACTGTTTTCTCCATCTTAATCCCATTGTTTGCGCAGAAATCTCTGAATCTACTGTCTCTGTACTCTCCTCCATTGTCAGACCTCAACCTCTTGACTTTCAAACCAGTCTCATTTTCCACCATGGCCTTCCATTTTCTAAAGGTATCAAAGACTTCTGATTTCTTCTTCAGAAATAAACCCACACCTTCCTTGTTGAATCATCGATGAAGGTGACATAATATAGTGAGCCTGCAAGAGATGGAACTGGGGATGGTCCCCATACATCAGTATGAATCAATTCTAACCTTTCTGCCTTGGGTGCCTTGCCAATCTTTGCAAAACTGACTTTCTTTTGTTTTCCAAAGATGCAATCCTCGCATAGTCCGACATCCACATTCTTTAGATCCGGCAGCTTCCCTTTTGACAGAAGTATCTTCATTCCTTTCTCGCTCATATGGCCAAGCCTTTGGTGCCATAGGTTTGATTTTCCATCAGCATCTGCTACTGCAATGATATTCTCTAAATTTGAGGTTACATAGAGAGTACCAGTCTTCTTACCACGAGCAATGACGAGTGCTCCTTTGGTAATCTTCCATTCACAACCTGAAAAGGTTGTACTATATCCTTCTCCATCAAGCTGTCCAACAGAAATCAGATTTCTTTTGAGGCCAGGAATATGTCTCACTCCTGTCAGCTTCCAGGTGGTCTGGTTTGACAGCTTTAGTCGGATCTCCTTTTCCGACGATCTTCAAGGTTTCATCATCAGCAAGATGAACCTTCCCAAAATCACCACTGATATAGTTCTCCATGATTTCTTGGCATGGGGTGGAGTGGAAAGATGCCCCTGAATCCAAGATCCATGATTCAATCGGACTGTTGACGCTTAGAATCATGGCATCACTGTCTCCTCTGTCACGTTGGCAGATTCCTGTGCACCTGTATCTTTCTTCAGTGCTCGGCAATCTTTTAAAGTGACCTTTCTTGCCACAATTATAACAGGTAAAATCTTTCTTTCCCGTTCTGGATTTTTCCCGTCTGGATTTGGATCTGCCACGATTTTAATTTCTTTCTGAAGTTCTCCCTCTGGACTCCGTGTGCAAGGCTGAGGAGGTTGATGCTTCACCCGATTCTCTCCGTCGAATTTCTTCACTCAGTACCAGATCCCGAACATCGTCGAATTTCAATTTACTATTTCCCGACGAGCTGCTAACTGCTGTAACAGTAGCATTCCAACTGTCTGGTAGAGATGATAAGAGAATTAAAGCTCGAACTTCATCATCGAATTCATTTCCACAGAACTCAACTGGGTTGTGATTGTGTTGAGTTCATTCAGGTGTTGAGCCACTGATGCCCCTTCCGTCATCCGCAAATTGAATAATCGCCTCATCAAGTGAACTTTGTTTGAGGCCGATGGCTTCTCATACATACTGGAGAGAGCTGCCATAAGACCTGCCGTGGTCTTTTCCTTTGCTATGTTGAAAGCAACATTTCGGGACAACGTCAGTCGGATAACTCCGAGGGCTTTGTCTGTCGAGAAGAGCTCAGTCTTCATTCTTCATGCCCTCTGGTTGCTTTCCTGAAAGAGGTTGATATAGATTTTTCTGATACAGAAAATCTTCAATCTGCATCTTCCAAAAGCCAAAGTCCGCACCATCGAACTTTTCAATTTTCACCTTCCCTTCGTCTGCAGCCATCGCTCCCACTCGAATCTGGCTTCGTTTGGATCGTTTCTGACAATTTCTGCGAACCGCCGTGTATTAGAACACCTCCGTCGACAAACTCGTATCGCCGACCGAATTTCACTATTCACGAAATTCACTATTCACGTGAATAGTAATGAATAGTAACCTCGCAGAAAATTGACAAAATTCACAACCAAAAGCTCTGATTACCAGTTGTTAGGAAATAAACCAAGTACAAGTAATTTCCCTATAACCAGATTTGTGAGAATGCGAAATAAAAGCGGAAAAATAATACCCGAAATTTGATAACGGAGTTCAGCCAATTTATGCTTACGTCTCCGGACTGCTGCAGATCTTTTACTAAGAGAAAATTTACAGGTGTTTACACAACACACTTGAGAGAGAACTAGAAGATTTAGGGATGATTTTGAAGCTAAATGAGCTAGGGTATTTATAGTTAAAACTTCGGGACTAATATTGTAATTAAAAATAAAAATATTTTGGGCAGCCCCCCTCCCCAATTTGTTTTAGCAGCCGGCTGCTACTTAGCAGCCCAACTTGTTCTTTAATTTTCAACAATTTCCCATGCAACTTAATTGAATTTCGGCTTCCTTAATCCACTTTTCGTTGCTTTTTTCCTCCGATGAGACCCTGGTTCTTCCTGACGATGACTCTGAATCAATAACCATCGGACACTCTTTTTCTTCTTGCTTTCGAACAATTGTAACACCTCTGCATATCATTTGTTTCAGAACTCTAACTTTAAATATGTCTCTACCAGCTTGAAGATCGATAACTTCATCAATTGACTCTCTCATGTTCGTTGCAATGAGAATCGTCATCTCCTCACAGCCCATTGCTAAATATTCACCCCATTGCTCAGCTATCCTCTTGAACGTGGTATGATTCCAGCAATACAACGGCACACCAAATAGTTTAATCCAAGTTACTCTTTGAGATGGTCTATACGATTCTGACCATGGTTGTACGTCCAGGAATACTTCCTTTAAATCGACCAGCTGTGATCCTTCATGATCCTGTATAAGTCTTCATCCTCTATCTCAATTAAGAAGTCTCTCCCTCCCAGAAATTTGGTCCTTATTTCTCCTAAGCCACATGCGCTTAACCTATCTTCCACCTGACTTGAAGAACAAACTGTCGCCATCGTTCCTACGAGGCATTTCTGAAGCTTGCAAACAACGTCTTCATCTTCATCAGGTTTGTTGTTTATTTAACATAAGAGAAATCTAATTTTCTTATAATTTTTTTGTCTAACTTGCGGCTCATGTTCTAACCTTTTAATTATCTAGCTTGCCTTAATAAATTTGTTTTGCTTGCTGTTAGGTTGAAGTTCTAGCTGTAAATTCTGAATTTGGTGGGTATGATCAGGATCCAGATACTCCTGGGCCGGTGGAAGTGCATAACTTGTCTGCTGTTCATGATGCACTGACTGTTGGTGATCATGTTAAACCAGAATATCACAATCATATAGAATTGGACAATTTTTAATGCGTAGAAAATGCTTCTAATAAATCAATTCTTTCCCATGGGCATGATAAACCGTTGGACCAGTCTTTGCAAACTGATATAAATTGTGCTGCTATCGTTAGTATGCCTTTGAGAATGGTTGCTACAATGGTAATATGGACAAAGAACATACTAAACCACAATTTAATTCTGTCCATGATGCCACATTTATGGAGTACAAATCTGCTGTTAGGACTATTGGAAGACCTGATGGTTTGGATAGGGTGGAAGATATGCGTCATGGTGTCATGCACTCAAGGGATAGAATTGATGGTGAATGTGCAGAATCTCCTAGCTGCTCCGATGTCACCTTTGATTTGGAAGACCCTACTCGAAGAACATGTTCAAGTAGTACTTGTGCACCCACGTCAGACGGCTATTTGGAGAATGATCAAGCATCACATAAGTTGGAACTTGGCAGTGATACTGAAACCATCAATAATGTGGAAGAGTCATGTCGCCTTCCAAATCAATAGCTTCAAATCCTTCCTGTCTATTTGAATCGCCCAGTGGACCAACAGTTGTTGATGGTGAAGTGCAAGCTTGTCAGGAACCAACCGAATCTGAAAACCTTAAAAGGCCTGGTTCTCATGAAAATGTCTCGACTATTCAACTTATTGGATCTGAGAAATTGGTTTCTGCAGAGCAAAACTTGGTCGATCTGTCGAGAAGGGAGGACTTCCATCCTTCTGGAGCTTTCATTGAGGTGCAAGGTTTGTTTTACCAGTCTTATGCTTGTAGATTTACATAAATGCCCCCCTGGGTGCCTTTCTATATAAATTTTATGCATGACATTATTATTGTTGTTAATATTGTTTTTTTTTTATCATCATGACCTCATGTTGGATTGTTTCTTATTTAACTACTATCTTTGCAGGTCAGAACCTTCTTTATGTGATGATCAGTTGGAAAATTCAAATAATTGTGATGTGTCGGATTTGCCTTCACCTGAAAAATTACTCTCTGCACTGGAAGGGCCTATTGATAAACCAAGTGATTTTACTCGGCGAGTTTACCCTAGACAAAGAGGTTCCAGAAGGGAATGATGAAGTCAATGCTGGAACCAAATTCATTTCAGGCAAAAAGCGAAGTATATCTGAAAGTACAATAACTGCAGAGAGTATACACTCGGTTGAATCATTTAGAAGGCCTCGATTCAGAACTGCAGAATCAATTACTGATGACGATGAATTGTTGTCTTCTATTTTAGGTAGCAACATTTTTACTGTAATGAACCATTATCTGCCATCTATTAATTTACTAGAATATCCGGACATGGATAATTTACACTCTAGGTTATTTAAGTTATCATCATTTTTATGTAGATTGCAAATCTTTAGTTTTATCAAGTTATATCACTAAACTTCTATTACTGATAAAGTAGGTCACTTGTGCTAACTTGTTAAGTAATTCTAACGGAAAGTTGACTTAACACGCATAGCTTAGTTTTACATGTCATCAAGAAATGCCAAGCGGGCATTTCAGCAAAAGACATCTATGTTGGCATTGTGGGTCCATTTAGAACGGAAAACAAATGATTTTGTTAGTAAAAAAGGCCAGTTATGCACGTTGAGTAAATTTATTATGCATCATCTTTAAGATGTAGAAAAAAATTTGTATGCATGCTGGGTCAGTTTTGCTCTTAAAATTCCTGAATAAAAGTAGTACAAGTGACCCAATTTATTAATAATAGAATTTCAGTGATGAGTTTTGATGAATTTAAGGTTTTGTGACTGATATGAAAGTAAGTTCAATGACCTAGAATGTAAATTATCCCATGGACTTCAAGGCTGTTCTTCGTAAAGAATATTTTTACGAATGAACTTAATTTTTCTTTGCTTCAGTTGGAAGATCTTCAGTTTTCAAAATGAAACCAACTCCTCCCCTTAAAGTAGCATCATTGAAACGCCCACGATCTGCACCAAGACCTAGTGCCACCAAGAGAAAAGTGCTTATGGATTATACTATGGTCTTACATGGAGAGTATGCTTTTAAGGTTTTATTTATTTATATCTCACTAGTTAAGTTTTCATTCTTCTGTTGTCTTGAAGTTTTCCAAGAGGGACTTTGGCTGAACAGAGTTTCACACTTGATTACATTCTGATTGCAGAACATAACAATTCATTTGTAGTATGCCATATGTTGTTTACATTCATTGACTGGCTTAAGATATGGTGAGTTTGTGTTTTTCCAGTCAGGTTGGCACATAGTGAAATACTGTTGAATGGAATTTATTCTGATTAATTGAATCTTATAAATTATTTTATTTTTATTGTTTTTCTTTATTCTATCTGCATTTGGAATTTTTTTTCGGTGTACTCAAGTTCTAATTAATTTGCCTTTTTTTTTTCCTTATCAAGTACGATACGTCAGCAGTTGGTTAATACTGAAGACATACGTCGTATACGTAAGAAAGCACCTTGCACTCTTCCTGAAATTTCGTTGATTCAGAGACAATTCTTGGAAGATGAAATATTTAGCGAACCTGTATTTACTGGTGAAATCTAAGTGCTGGAATTTCACTGCATCTGAATGCTTTTGTTGGGGTTCTCTCTATATATATATACATGTACGCATGTTTGATTACCCAGGTCGAGTTTTGGGTAGTTAGGTAGTTGGTATTCGGGTTTGAGCCTCCGGGTTTGGGGTTTAAAAATGGTGCTTACAGACATTCTAGACTTGGAAGTGTTCCAGGTTCAGTGCTTTTATTTGGATTTTCTTATACCTTTTTCAATATACTAGCGTTTACATATCCGTTTCTCTTGAAATGATCACTCCAATCATTGGTCATTGAACCATAGCATTTCAGATTCGGATTTTCTTTATGCGTTTACATATCTTTCTTTCAGAATGGTCATATTAATGGACTTCAGTCATTGGTCAATTGATCGGGATTTCTTCATGTTCTTTCTAATGTACTAATAACTTTTTCTTTCAGAATGGTCATATAAAGGAACTCTAATAATTGGCCCATCGGCCAGGAATGTTTTAAGTTCAATCTCTTGATTTGAATTTTCTTTACTATTTTTCAAGTATTTACATATCTAATTCTTTCAAAATGATTATACAAACGAAATCTAATCACTGGCTTTCAGGTTCAATTTTTTTATTTGAATTTTTCTCTATACTTTTTCTAATGTATTGGCGTTTGCATATATTTTTCTTTCAAAACCATCATACAAAAAAATTCCAATCATTGGTCCAAAGCGTTTGCATATATTCATCTCTCTTTCTTTTGAAATGATCATATAAATGAACTCCAACCAAACCATTAGCCCGTTGGCCCCAGGGTGCCAGTACCAATATAATAGCAAATTAAAACAGTAACCTTAATACCAATACATATGATGTCCTGCTGTAAGCCTCCTAACTACATTACTGATAAGGTGGATAAGACTTCTGGTACGATCACAGTGAACATACACAGATTTTTTTTTTGAATAATCTCAAGTAATTACATGTTCAATTTTTTCTTAATGCACGTATACCCTATAAATGTAATTATTCAAACCTAGATCCTTCAACTACTCAAGTCTAGATTCTCCAGAGAAAACAGTATTCTCTTTAATGTTGAATGACACAGTAATCAGCAAGTAGGCATGGAAATTCATCACGGAGAATACCGAGCTTTCGGATCCTTTATTAGCCAAGTATTGTAAGCAGTCACTTCCTGGGCCAAAAAATAAAGTTCCTGCAGCTTTTCCTTATTGGGGGGCAAGGATAAACTTGTGTGGAACTTCAACTTCCTCGGATATTCTCAACGTGATTTATGTACAAGTTTTTGTGGCAACAGAACAACGGTGATAAGAATCCCGACTATACCCGAATAATCTCAACTAACGAACTACAAATAGAAATATCTGCTTATATAATATGATAATTTGGGGAAGGTTTTACAACATAAAGGGGACTGAAACAAATTACAGTCTCAAGTTTTACGTACTGATCAATTCAGAACCCATAGATACATGCATGCATGCATACATACATAAAAAAAAAAGAGTAAACTGAAAGTAACCATCCTTTCATCAACAGAACAAACCAAACATAATATTATGGCTTACCTTGTGGACACACTCCTTGGTCTTTCTTTTTTTCATTTTTGCAGTATCACCTTCATCTCAAACTCATCACAGGCCATGGATTCACCCCAGTGGTAGTGGGTAGTGAAGGACGTATAATTGGGACACGTCTTACAACTGAAAATGCCTCGTTGAGGCGAGCTGCACGAGTCATGAACTGAGAAACCTTCTGCAAGTACAACACAAGGAAAGAACAAAACGTTAGATGTGTTCCAGCAGTCAGCCAATCCATTTGCCAATTTGTACTAGTGTAAAACTTAAATCAATTTTACCTATTTTCAAAACTTCTAAACATAAATATTTGAACAAACCGACCATTGAATTTACCAATATAATTGTACTCATTGTGCATATTAAGTTCCAAACTGATCCAACATTATTATCATGTCGATAGATAGAGAATATTGTTGTTTTCAATATATATTTTCTAGTTTTTTTACAAGGGATAATAGTCGAGGCACTTCTATTTAATGAAAACTCTACATGCACAATCCACAATAATATGATATGAATTGTTTTATATATCAGTATGATATAAAATATTAAACAAATATAAATCATATAAAAAGTTTATGAACTTATGTAAATGATACAAATATTATACTATTAAATGAAAACTCTATATGCACAATCCACCATACTAAACTAATGTTATGAGATCTCTACTCTTGTGTGCATGTGCACGTGTATTCCAACATAAAAACCAATTGCATTATTAATTTGTTTAAATTACATGAATCGCTAGATTCACTGTATCTCAAATTCAGCAAACAAATTTTTTTAAAAATTGATACCAAAAAAGGGGCACAATCAAAGTAGAACAGGAACCCAAATTCGTAAAAGAACTCTATGCTTGGAAAAAAAATAAGGATAAGATTTTAATCATAAAAGGGTAAACAAGTTTTGAACAAAATATTTGGATCTAAAAACGTATATAAGTATTCCTCAAATCACATCCTCCATTATATCCTAACCACCTCCATTTCCGCAAGACAATAGGAAGAGAAGAAATTTATCAGTTGACCAAAGATGGCATTCCAGACTGGAATCCACACAAACATTCAGAGCAAACACCCTTCCTTCCTCTCTCTCTCTCTCTCTCTAACAACCAATTAGGGCCATTTTCTAATAACCAATCACTTGACAGTAGTGAACCAAAATTTTCTTGATTGCTACAATTACCTGGCAATCCAACGTACCATAGATATTAATAACATGTACTATCTCGATGATAATGTGTTGGATATGATTCAGCTATCAGCTAAATAGTCTTAAGTCCAATATAATGGTGAGAGACTTTGGAGTTTGAATCTTGATTTGGTTTTTCTATTACACGCTTGTTTCCGTAATTCCGTTCAGCATTTAGTTAAAAGTTGAGTTAGTGACAGGGAACAAAACGGAGGAGGAAATGAATACAAAAGACAATACTGTCCACCACAAAAGAAAATGTGTTGTGGAAACCTAGTAGAATTTGTTTGGTAGGACCTAAAGAATGGAATAAGTTTTTGGTAAGACTCTATTTAGAAGTTCATTTTCGGTAGGACTTTATTTAGATTGACGTCACTTTCCTTATTTTATTGTATTTAATTAATTACAGTAATAAACAAGTCTGTATAAAGAGACGATGAATAAAGGAAATCAGAACTGTTATCAAAACCCTAGGGTCTCTCTAACGAGTCCTAAAGGTTTCAGGCTCCCTTTGATGTTCTTGATTGATTTTTCCATCCATCGCGTGTGGCTCAATTCCAAACTCATCTCTGTGACATTATTTCTTTTAGGAAGTTATTTGCAGTGAACCAAGTGGAATCACAGGCAAAAAGACGAGAAAATTTCAGGGCTTAGATAATCAATAAAATACGAGGATCACTCGGAAAAGCACTTGATAATCAAATATTTCCAAAGTAAGAAACTAGTAAGGATGCAGGTAAAAAACGCTGACAAATCAATCAAGCGACGGTTCTCAACTGGTCATGGAGAAGCTCAAAGGGATAATGCAACAAAAAGGAAAAGACCATAAAGATTCATGTATACAAGAGAATGAAATTCATTGCAACGTGAACCCTAGGGCAGAAATGGATCTAAATCATAAAACAACAAGGACAACCAATAACTTATATTGTCTGGTTACAGAATAAATCTAAGACACAATTCGTTATCCAATTTCCAAAGCTTGATCAATAACATTGAAAACAGTAACCGGAAAAACAAAAGCAGCAACTTACCTTATCATCCAGGGTAACCTTTATCTGCAAGCTACTGCTCTTCCGCTTCATCTTATACAATCTAAGTCCTAATATAACAAAACCCATCACAGCCGCCGCTATAGAGAAGGACCAAGCAGGACTAACCCTGAAAACACAGTATCTCAGGAGCTCGAAAGGAACTTTCCACCATGCTACCTTCTTCTTGTCTCCCTCATTAACCGATTTCGCACGCAACTTCATTTCATCAATGGTTGAACCTTCATTACCAATTGTATTTCCGTTTCCTACTTCCGAATCCAAAGTTGAGTTATCCCCATCATCGAGCTCACCTGAATTCTCCAACTCAGCTCCCTTTTCCATAAAGTCAATAAATTCAATGCCAGCCTCTTTCTCAATATCCTGAAACTTCATTGAAATCAAACCATCTCCACCAGAATCAGGCCAGAACTTGCCCAAATCCTTATCTTGATCTTGAATACCGCCAAACCCACCGAAACCTATCTCCTTTGTCCTATCGAATTCACTAAATTTAGTACCATCGGGATTAAATGTAACCGATTCGTCAGTCTTAGCTTCCACTTTTCCAATACCTTGGAACAAATCCGGGGCTTTCTCGTTCTCAGCAAACTCCAAGTCTTCTTTCACAGCCAAATCACTTAATTTACGATCATCAGACCGATCACTGCCGGAATCGGACCAAAAACCGCCCGAATTATTCCTCCCATACTGAGTCTCCGGCTTGGGATCAATCCAACTCGGATTATCTGACTCGATAGAACCTTCTTCACCCACATCCCCCTCCTTTGCATACATATTCTGATTATCAAGAGAAAAGTAATCAGACCTTATCATCCCTTCAGTATCACCTTCAATGCCCTCAAGATTCCTCAACTCGGGCGAGTTAGCCATGGTAGAACTAGAGTCAGAGTCCGAGCTGTGGAGCACCTCCCAATCTAGTAGTTCTCCTTCCATGGCAGGGATCTTGGTTGAACTTCTTTTCTAGATTAGGGCAATCAAAACACCAAAAATAGAAAGCGCCCAACAAACCCTAATACCCGATTGAATTTGGATTCTAAAGTTTATGACTTGTGAAGAAAGGAATAAAAATGCAAAGACCATAGAGGATAAGGCAGGACACTTAGAGTGTTGAGCAGAGGAAGACGATGGAAGTTGTGAGCATTGACGTGGCGTACTTGGAAATAATCATTTGTTTGGTCCAAGTGGAGATGGCTGACTCTAAAGATTGATGAACAATTAGGATTTTGACACGTCAAAACAACGGTGGGGGTGACAACAGAGAACGTTTATCTGATCAAATAGTGATATCTTTCTTTCGGAAGCTGAGATAAGATAGAGTATAAGAAAAAGAGGACAAGTGTCATATTGAGGAATACACGTATCAGGGAATGGAATAAAAAAGAAGAATTAACCATTAATCTTAATTAAGTAATATTTTAACCCCAAATACAACATCTAACCCAACCGTAAGAATGAAAAAATATTATAATTTTAAATTTATTTATTTTTATTTTTAAATTTTAATTTTATAAAATATATTATTTGATTTAATCGTAAATAAGGGTTTGAGTTAGAAAATTAATCATATAGTGTGCGAATGTATAAAACAAATCATAAAATTATTTTTCTAAAGTGAGATATAAATCGTTATAAATGCACGAGTGTTCAAATCAATCCAACAAGATATAAACGGATGAATTTATCTATAATTAGAAATCATCATAACACAATCAAATTGAAAATTGGACCTAACATAGATCCCGGTATGAATCGGAATAATAATCAAAATAGGAATTCATAAAACACAGTAGAATAAGAATTCCTACATACATAATGAAACTTGACCGTAGAATAATAATGATTCATAAAAAATTTATCATATTTAACTTAAAATTTGTATATTTAAAAAAATTATATATAAATTTGTAGAATAATAAAGTTATCTTAGATTAATCCAAGACGATTTCCACCTTCACCCCTATTAAGAACATGGAAATGAAGAATTTGTTGGCCTTTTGTTTCTTAGTTTTCGCAATAAAAGTGGCTGATTTTCCCATTAAAATTGTATGAATGCTTAATCATGGAGTGATTGGTTAAAATTTCATCTTAATTGTTGGGTCCAAATTTTAGGTAAAGGGTGGTCGGAGTTTGACAAATGAAAACTTGATTTGGTACTACTTCATTTTATCAAACATGTCAAATAATCATTTTATTTAGCAATAAATGATAAGATCTTCTTAAGTAACAATCAAAATGTATAATCATGTAACTAAATTGGTGCACAAAAATGTTGTGTTTTGCTCTAGAGGCAATTTGGCTCAAGTTAAATCCAAGTCCCAAGCCTTGTGGAAGCTTCCCATAACACCACTAAACATATTGTAGACATCAATCTTTCCCCCTTTTCAGAACCTGAAATCACCAAAAAGGCAATAACTTCTCATAAACAAACCAATCAATGATGAATTTCTGATTCGATAAGAGAAAAATGGAAGCAAAAGTGCACAAAGCTGATCAAATTCTACAAGCCAGACAATATCAAACTCTATGCTCAACCAAATCTTGTTCAGTGCTAATCAAAGTTGGAGGATGAACTTTGGTTTTGGGGAACTGTCTCCAATAGAGAAAAGCAAGTAGCAGCAAAAATAAATATGCAGAAATACGTTACTCGTATTCCGGTGCAAGTGTCGGACATAATTATATTCAAACATGAATTCGGATGGTTGTATCTAAGGCAAAACGATAAGTCATTGACATCCCTAGATTTTAATATGGATTATGTTCCATTTCTTGTTTAGATCATAAATGTAAATGACACCAGATGATCAAGATTTGCCTACACAGTGGCTTGTAATATGTCTATAATACTAGTAAGGATTCCATGTGTCAGCAAGCTGAATGAATAAAAAAAGCAGCAAAAAATGCATTAACTGTTAGCTTCTGAATTTGGGATTCCTTCACTCATACAATGAACTTTTCTATAAGGGATTAGAATCATGATACCTGTTATTGATCCTCAAAAGCAACAAATTCAGAATCCTTGGGCTCGTTTATGATCTTTTCAAACATTGACTTAACCGTCTCAAGCCGGAACATTTCTTCCAAAACTTTATCCTCTACAATATTACAGACTTGTTTGTGATGATCACCTTTATCTGAAGAGAACAATAACTCAGATAACCGATCCTTCCCAGCTTGTCTATAATATTTCGATGCCTCCATTGGCCAGGAGGAGATAAGGTGGTATATGTATACAACCTTTTTCTGGCCAAGCCTATAAGCACGGGATATAGCCTGTCGTTCGACGGATGGGTTCCAAGTCACATCAAGTAATACCAGCCTTGAACCTCCAACAAGATTAATACCTTCAGAGCAAGCCTTTGTTGATGCAAGCAACACCCTTACTTTGCTCTTTGGATCATTAAAAACATTAATCGAGCATTGACGCTGCTTAATGTCACATTGTCCGTGCATGAACAGTATCTCCACACCTTCCTTCCATTTTAAATTATCTTGAAGCTGGTCCATTATTAAGCGTAAAGGTCCAATGTATTGGCTGAAAACTATAACCTTTTCCTCCAGGGCTTCACTAAGCTTAAGCAGATTCATGAGGAATTTTGTTTTCACTCCTTCATCAGGTTTCAGTCTTATCCTTTCTAACTCCTTCATGCTAACAATGGAGCTGACAACTTCATTACTATCTTTCTCATCTAACAGCGGAATCAAAAGCTGCTTCAACAAAGAGGGATGGATGGAGATCAAGGACACATATCGATCCAAATCAAGTGGATTTTGTTTTTCTTTTATTCTTCTCTTTTTGAAAGGGTTCTTTTCTCTAGCACGCTGAAGGATTTCTTCAACACGATGCAGGATTTCTTCAACACGATGTAGGATTTTCTTCTGCAGATCAGTGGGCCATAAAACAACTAGAGAATGCTTCAAACCAGGAAGTGCAGTCTGTAGAATTGTGCCTTTATACACATGAACAAAAGGCTTAATCACAGCTCTAACCTCCCTTAGTTTTTCATTTCTATCAACATCGTTTTCTATAGAACCAATCCAATAGGCAAATTTCAATTTTGCTTGGTCTCCTTTGCGCCCACGCCTTGTATTAACCTTGTATCGATTAGTATACCGGATTCCTTCAGCAAATGTTGGTCTAACTAACCAGAGCGTGTTGAAGAGCTCTTTGAAATTGTTTTGGAAGGGAGTTCCGGACAAAATTATACGACGTTCAGTTTTAATTCTTGACAAAGACTTCCACAAAAGAGAATCAGCATTTCTCGGTATATGTCCTTCATCAAAGACAAAAAGCCTAGGAAGATCAAGAAGGATTTTACTAATTTGATCATCTAAATTTTTACATTTTCCTTTCCCTCCTTTCCTTTTTCCAGCAAGTTTAGTGAAAAGGCTGTAACTAATTCCCAAGACGCCTCCACTGGATTTCCAGGAAAGCAGTTTCACCACACGCTTAGCATGTTTATCTGCATGCGGGGTACCATTATTTAGTTTCTCATAAAGAGGAATTGCATATGTTTCTTCCTTGTCAGAAAAATCCTCACTGTTCAGATTGTGAAAGGGAATATCAACCTTCCACTTAATGAACTCGTCTCTCCATGTTAGCAACATAGTACAAGGAGCAACAATCACTGGCCATGAGCTTGGATACTCTTTTAAGTATGTCTGAAGAAAGACGATAGTCAGAAGAGTTTTCCCTGTCCCAGGAGCATGAGATATGATGCATCCTCCACCGCCACTGCATGAGTTTTTAGACTTATCACGATATATCCCCCCTGCTATATTACTCCACATAAATTCAAAACCTTCACGTTGATGGGGGTGGAGTTTACTTTCTCTATTTGGAACGATTTCCCATACTGTTCCTTCAATATTGGCAGAGGAATCACCAGGCATGTCAATGCTAGGGTCTAGATCTTGAAGGCCATCAAACACAGAGGAGTTCACAATGCCAGAGTGTTGCCTCTCGTATTTTCCGCATGGACGTTTCATCTGCAACAAGCAAAACAAAGTTATGAGTATCAATTATCTGAAGTAAGATCCTCAAGTGTTGCAGTATACATATTAGGCTCCTTTCCGTTAGCCTATTATCAATCCATTTAGCTTGTCTAGGACCACAATTCTAATTGGAATCGTTTGCATCTAAATGGCTGTCCCTTTTTCCCATATATATATGGGGTAGGGGGAGGTAAGATGTAGGCTACCCCCAACACCAGGTTGAGAGCAGCTTCCGTAAGAGACCTCCAAATTATGAAATGCCCTCCGTGGGACTCCAAATTATGCAAATGTCCCGTTTGCATCTAAATCCATTATCAAAATGAAAAATGTTCAAAAATATATTATTAAGCATGAAACATACAGGATCATATGAAACTTACAAAAGGTGATGTAATGTACTTTATTTCCAGTTCCAAAAAAGAGCAAAATTTGCATTTCCTTCCAATTTCTTCGTCTAGCACAAGCTCATGATCCCCTTGACGACATAGGGATGATCTGTCCCGTTTAACCTCAGAAACATTAGTAGCATCCTCAGTTTCCACCTGCACATCAATATGAACAATATAGGTATCAGTTCAATCATCTAAAAGCAAAAATTCGCTGACAAGTTGAAACGAAGATTCACACGAAAAAGGAAATTTAAATTCATGATTTGCTAATTTTCACTTTAAGCGGTGCATATATATATATACATACATATATATATACATATACATATACCTATGATAGAATAAATTTAGCTGTTCCAAAAAAATGCTAGAAACAACCAAGATAATTTGCATCTATTCCTTTCTAAAAAACGTTCAAGCCCACTTTTTCTTAATTTATAGCATTTAAAGAAAGATGCGCTGTTGAATGTATGCCCTTTGTCGATGGTGGTATTTATTTCAATAGAAGACAAATCCATACAAGATAAAGGCAATGGATTTCACTGATTTCAACGCACAATTTCACATATAATAAACAATGATTCAATTTTTATTATATCAATTACTTTGGTATACTGGTATTGGTTGGTACACATGCACATACCAGGGAAGGATTAGTTGAACCAATCTCGCTAGAAACAAGGCAAAACTGCATCTCAGTCCACAGTGAGACTAATCCGTCTTCAAATTCTACATCCTGAGAAGTGATTGTGTCCTCAACCCCAGAAGTGAAATTGAGAGGCAAAAGGTTGTTCTCAGTTTCTTCATTGTTCAAAATAGTATCTGCCAAAACGGTAAGAAGGTGAAGTTTCTCGGAGGCCGCCTTCCCTTTTCTACCCTTAGACGGCTTGGTATAGGAAGAAGTAAAATCATTTAAACAAACAATGTCGTCGTCGTCGTCCGAGACAGAAGAACACCGACTATTCTTCTTCTTCTCCTCCTCCTTCCCTCTCTCCTCCTCCTTCCCGCAATAATCCAAATCATCCGACTCATCATTGTCTTCTCCGCTTGTGGAGGTTAGATCCTCATCAGAACCCTCCATCGAATCATCATCATAATCATATTTTTCTTCATCATCGTCATTATAAGGACTGCAAATATCAGCAGCGCTTCTTGCATCCTGTTTACGCTGCTGTATTTCAACGCCAGATTTTTGGTACAGAAAATGGACTTCACTGGTCACTTTTTTAGAAGCGAAAGATGTACTAGTTTTGTCCTTCCGCTCCTCCTCCACCACCTTCCTCCGCTTGAATGCACGATGATCCTCCAAGACGTGGGCTTCCGTCCTGCTTCTGGTTCTTGAAGCTACCGGCAACGACGGATTCAACATCTTGCGTGTACTATAAGAAATAGGGTTGTCAAGTTTGAGTTCAGCCACAGGGACATGAAAAGAATGCGCGAATAGAAAAAGAAGTGAAAGAGTTCAATAATAGTGAATATCCGAAAGACAATAACCCCTTGATCTCAGCGACGGCCGACAGCGACAAGATCGCAAAGAAAGCGAAAAGACTTGAACCTCAAAAGTCCTTCCATGTACGAGGGGGTCGGGGAACTTTTTGATTAATAACTACAATAAATCTTATATTTTATATTTATAAATATATCCTCTAATATTAACATGATACTGAGTCATCTACCAAAAAGGAAACATGATATTGAGCCAAATTTGATATGAAATTCCTAATTTAAAGATAAAATTATAATATTTAAATGTAAGGATTAATTTAGAATAAAAGTTATAGTTTAAGGATGTATCATAAATTTTATTATTGTTTTATTTATTTATGAAGTTATTATTTTTTAAACGTTTTAATATATTGAATAAAACTCAATTTAAACATTTTTCATGGTTTGGGTTACCGCTATTTAACTAGATAGAATTATTCATATTAGCAATTCTTTATAAAATTTAAAAATATTAGAAAATATAAATTTGTTATTATCAATTATGATAACTTGTTCATTAAAATCTCATGAAAACTTCAATTCTTTTGTTATTAGATAACAATTTTTTTAACTTTATTAGATAACAAATTTGATTGTGAGTTTATCCTAACTAAACATAATTTGATTGTGGAAAGTGATTCAAGAACCATAATTTTAAAACTAAACACCGAGGAGACCGACCCATTGGTGATTGGGTCGATGATCGGAGATGCTAAATTCTTGGCCAACCACCTTGAATTTTGTTCGTTGGACGACAAAGAAATCAAGCAGCACATGCAGAGTCTTCGACGGGATTTAGAAGCATCAATGACTGCTTTTGGATAGAAGACATACCGAAGATAGCCCTCAGAGCTGCAGATGTTGATCGTCACCTCGTTGACCCACCGTGAGTTTTTGATGGCTTTCTTATTCTTCTAAGGGGATCATCTTTCTCCAATTTATGACTCATCCCTTGTTTTCTCTTTGGCCTCCACTCTTTAATTGCTTATTTTATCACGGTTGAAGTTTGGTCGATTGAGCATACCTCTTTCTCCTTTGCTGGGGTTAAGATTTTAGTTTTATTTGATGTTTTATTTTCCGATGTCTGAACTGCATTATCTTTTGTGTGGTTGTAACTTTAGTTACTTGGCTTTTGCAATTTCCTTTTCTTTGTATTTGTTTGGTTTTTATTAATAAAGTGCTTATCGACCTTTTGATAAATAAATAAAAAAGTTTTCAAACGGCATAATGATTTTTATAACATTCAACTTTACTAGCTTGGTCATTTTAATCCTTAAACTTTTATTGTATCTATTTTGACCATTAAACTTTTTTTTAAATTAATTCAAATACGATGAAATAATATCAGTGCCATTGAACTTTTATTAACATTTTATCATTTTAGGCTGCATCATAAAAAATGCGAAAAATTGTTAAGAAAAAAGTTGTCCTCATTGCTTGTTGATAAAATCTATTTCTTGTTACATTTTATATTGGCATTAGCAACTTCATTGCTAATCAAATACTCGAACTGAGTTGATCATACATAATTTATCAATTATATAATATTACTTCTAAATATCAAAATCAAATAATATAATTATATATACAAATTTTATTTTAACTACATTCTCCTAAATTGATTGAGTGATTAAATATGCTCGTATTATTATACTTAGTGTAAATTCAAATATTGAAATTTACCTTGAAAATGTAATACTCTCCGCTTAATTTAAAAAATACACATTTTAATTTTTGGGTAAACTACACATTTAGTACCTAAATTTTTCTCTTTTTTAATGATGGGATGACATTACCTTATGATAACATATCAATATCACCGTTAAGTTTTTAACAGCAGAATATCAAAATGAAATTTAAACTAAACGTTTGATATGATTCATAACAAAAGGTTAGGTGCCAAAACAAAATAAAAATAATAGTTTAACTATTAAACGTATAATTTACCCCTAACTTTGTGATGTAACCATATATTTGAACTTTTCACGATTCTTAGAGATCTCCACCACATCCAAAGCTTAGAATACGCATGGCAATCGACGCAAGGTAATTACATCGCATTGGACATTGTAGCACAGAAAAAGAAAGCCAAGAATGGCAGGCGGTCCCAAAGAATTTGTGCTTTTTAAAATAAGATCTTTAAAATAGTTTATAACAAAAATTAATTTGTTAAATTTAAAATTATGAGAGTTCTATGAAATTTTTTACCAAAATTTATTATAGAAAATGATTAAAGATACTGTCAAAATTTTCGTTTATAATTTTTTCTTTCATTTTTGTTTTCTCTTCAAACAAAAATGTCGTTAGCGCACAAAAGTTATACATGGACAAGCTTAAATGACATCCATGTGTAAACCCTTAAATTTTTTAAACCATGTAACGGATCACATGTTACACTTATCATTGGACGGCCTGAAGAATGGCAAATGCATTTGATGAACCCTACTGTGCTGATGCGGTTCCATTCCAAATTTCCAACAACCCCAAACCAAGTGTCAGCTTGTTTACGCATTGCATAGTGGAGGTAAGATCCCAGGAAGAAAGCAAAGCAATGATTCACATGTGTCGCTTGTTTAATGAAGCTGACAAGACTGAGAACCGGATGATAAGGGGCGGGAGAGTAGGGTCGAGATCAGTATATATCGTTTTATTTTGGAAGTTTTCATTCCTTTTGGACAACAAAGTCCTGACCTAGGCAGCCCTTGGTCGGTAGCAGTATATGTTGCTCATTTCTTATCTTGTTGAACCTGAATGGCAAATGCAGCAGTCCTTGTTTTAATTTTCTCCATCTCATCTAATAGAGGAACTGACTTGTTGAAGCAGAAAGTGCAAGTTGCCGGTTTAGAAAAAATTGCCCAACATGTGCATGGAAATCGTTTTATTCCAAATATTGTGCACGGACAAGTTTGGATTGTTAGCTTTTTGAGATGAAAATCGAGTTAGATTAGGTTGATTTGGAGTGGTTGAGTGAGTGTTTTGGGCTTAGGTCAATGTTGTCATGTGTAAATTTCGTAAAGTTATTCTACTTTCATTAACATGGATTAAGTGGAATTATAAATTCTGCCAGGAATAAGCATGATGACTTGAACAGTGATTTCTTGCATAAAAAACATTTTAAAATGTATTGTTATAGGTTAAGTATATTATTATATATTTTTTAAAATAGTCCAAGTAATTAGAAGGTAATATTTGACTATTTGTTAAGAATTTTTTTAATCAATTGAAAATGCACGTACATCCTGTAAATACAACTATTCGAACACAAAATCTCGTAGAAAAAAACAATATTTTCTTTATTTCATTGGTTTTGCGCGGAAGACTTCTAGCAAACAAAGGAACGAGTTCGTAGACATATACCTACTGAAAGTATATATGTGTCAAATTTGCAACATGGGAGAAGACTTTTGCACCAAAGCTCGTTCGGCTTTGTCTCGGTTGATCGGAATAAACTCTCGGATTCCATGATTAAACGTTGCATACTTGGTTACGGGACAATATAAAGAAAACACAAAATTTGGCAATAGAACATCTTGTTTTTAGTAGTTTGTTGGAACCTTTGACATAATCGTAACCTTACTATTTTTAATGCAGATTTCCCTTCAACATGAGAACATAGTCAATCGGAGTTTGCCTTTAATGAAGGAGATATTGACCGGTAAAGATTGCGGCAAGATCACCGCAAGCAAAGATAGGAGGACTCATAGATGGACACGATCACCAAGGGGCTGGATCAAGGTGAATGCCGGTGGTGCTGTTCGGGGCAGTGACATGGCGGCTGTCGCGAGTGGTGTTTGCGATGTGATCAAGGTCATTGGATATTTGGCTTCTCCAGAAGCCTTAGGGATTGTCCGGTATTGAAAACTTAGGGTTGTTCACGAGGTGCTAATTCACACTTTGGCGGCTGGGATTTAGAAAAGTGCATGTCGAAACCGATAACGCCGAGGTCTTCAGCTTACTTTCGTCCACGCCAACAATGTCTTCAAGCACTGCTTTAATTGACTCAGTACGATCTCAACTAGCTCAGGAGTGAGAGGTCAAGATCAACCTGATCCGAAGGGAGGAAAATTCAATTGCGGACATGCTTGCCGCGATGGCTAGAGGACGTACAGTTGTAGCAATGCTGTTTAACGATCCACCGAGTTGCAAGTCTTACTTCCTCAGGAAGCTGCTGTTTACTGATATATTAACTTGATTTTATTTTAGGAAAAATATTTTTCTATAACAGTAACGTCAATAATTGGAAAAGGATAATAAAGAGGGGGGGGGGAATCTTCTATACTGATCAAGTACTTTTGGTATTAATAGAAAGACGTGGCAGGATGTGAGGCAGACAATTTCCGAGCCTAAACCCTGAACGTACTATGCCCACGCCATCGTTTTCTCTTCCTCGACAAAACCAGCGTCAGCCTTCAGCTCGAGGCATTAGCGCGCCTGCTTGTGTTTGTGTTGTGCTGTGCTGTGTCGGCCCTTGTTATCCTCCTTAAAATGCGCGCTCTCCTTACCTTGAGACCTCCGTGCATTTCTTCTTGTTATTTTCCTCCTCCTTCCTCCTCTTCCAATTCCTTTCTCTATAGCTGCTTTAGACCCAACAAGCGTTTCCACTTATTCAAGCCTTGTTCTTCCCTCAGACAAACAAAGAAGCAGCAGTCCCTTCAAAAGAGTCCACCCAATGCTCCCCAGAGTCTGAGGTGGTTCCTCAACCCCAAAGGCGATGATGACGAGAAAATCAAAGGGGATGGGGACGGGGATGTTAATGGTAATAAGGGAGAAATTGAAGGGGACACTGCGCTTAAAGGTACCCTTTTGGCTGGAGTTTTACTTGTGGGTGTTGTTGGTGGATTTGGTATTGTCGGGTACATCTACAAGGACCAAATCAACGCTTTCTTGAACCAGTTCTCCACTTTCATTGAAGGTATACGTCTTCATGAAGTCCGGACCCTTTTTCGCAGTTCATCTGTATTCAGTATTGTCTTTGTTAATTGGGGCTCTTTGAATTCGGAATTAATTTATTTTGATAATTATTGAATTTGCTGATTTAGTTTGCTTTAGCTTCATAGGTTTTCTATGGATTTGGGATTTACATGTATCTTCTTACCCACTAAAGAAATTTTAACACTGTAACTCGTGCGGCGTTAAACCATTTACAGTTTTGCCTTTGAAGTTCTCTGCAATGTGGAAAATCCTTAAATAGCAAATGGTGCCGGTAGGGTCCTATAATTTCCTTTAGCCTTTTTTTCTGGAAAAAATTTCAGATTAGACTAGTAGAACGTGTTAGTTAGGGGATTCATGCTTTCTTTCTTTCATTTAATGAACATGGTCTAGAATTTTAATGGTGGGTTTCTTCAATAAACAGGTTATGGATCTGCTGGATATGCTTTGTTTGTAGCAGTTTATGCAGGATTGGAAGTAAGCTTATATACCATCTTCCGTGCTTTACCTTTTTTATTCAGTTCTATTTCTCCCAACAATGAGTTACTTTGTTTTCTAGACTTTTATGCAACCTAATGCTTGTTAGTCGTTTTGTTATGTTGTAGGTTCTTGCTATTCCTGCCATTCCATTGACCATGTCTGCTGGTCTTCTTTTCGGCTCTGTCATTGGCACCATTTTAGTCTCTATTAGTGGAACAGTAAGTTTGTTATCTTCCAAATACAAAAGAGGAGAGAATGTGAGTGCGCCAGAAGTTATGTATTAATATTCTTTTGATCTTTTAGGTGGCGGCAAGTGTTGCCTTTCTGATTGCTAGATATTTTGCTCGTGAGCGAATTCTAAAACTAGTTGAAGGGAACAAAAAGTTCCATGCAATTGACAAAGCAATCGGAGAAAATGGCTTCAGAGTGGTGACCCTCCTTCGATTGAGTCCTTTGCTCCCATTTTCACTGGGGAATTATCTCTATGGATTAACATCTGTGAAGTTTGTGCCATATGTGTTGGGAAGGTTTGCTTCTTCATCTTTGAAGTGATATGTGTGCTTTCTTTTTATGTTTGTTGTGATGTTTAAATGCCATTAAAGATATTTCCGTGCTTCATTATTTTAACAATTAGTTGCATCTACCTTCGAGTCTTCGACTTATCAACTATTTGTAAAATTTTGTTATTAGAGAAAATTAATATTTATTAGC